AATCAATCTGGGCTAACAATCAATCCAACAGCTCCCGATATAGCTGGACTGCAGGCATCGGCCACCGCACACTGGCGCGCGTTAATTTTGGCTTTTGTTTTTTTTTTTGTTTTTTGAGACAGTGAGGTAGCCAGCGTTTAGGGGGTTGCCCAGGGGCGTAGAGAGTGAGGGTGGGCGTGGCGTCATCTAGCTCCACCAGCAACCTTCAATATCCTGGCTCAAGCAATCTCCTGCCTCAGCCTCCCAAGTAGCTGGGACTATAGCCATTGCGCGACGCATGCCCGGCTAATTTGTTTGTAATTATATATATTATGGCCCAATTCATTTCTTTCTATTTATGGTCTCCAACTCCTGACCTTGAGCGATCCTCCTGCCTCGGCCTCCCAGAGTGCTAGGATTACAGGCGTGAGCCACGGCGCCCGGCCTCCTCAAAGGTTTTGACCAAGGGCTTCTCTCTCCCTCCACCTCCTTGCCCACAGGTCTCCTCTCTGGGGGTCACGACCTTCAGCCTCTGCGCCCTGGGCATCGACCGCTTCCACGTGGCTACCAGCACCCTGCCCAAGGCGCGGCCCATCGAGCGGTGCCAGTCGATCCTGGCCAAGCTGGCCGTCATCTGGGTGGGCTCCATGACGCTGGCCGTGCCTGAGCTCCTGCTGTGGCAGCTGGCGCAGGAGCCGGGGCCCACCACGGGCACCGTGGACTCGTGCGTCATGAAGCCCTCGGCCAGCCTGCCCGAGTCCCTCTACTCGCTGGTGATGACCTACCAGAACGCCCGCATGTGGTGGTACTTCGGCTGCTACTTCTGCCTGCCCATCCTCTTCACCGTCACCTGCCAGCTGGTGACGTGGCGGGTGCGGGGCCCCCCGGGGAGGAAGCCGGCGTGCCGGGCGGGCAAGCAGGAGCAGTGCGAGAGCCAGCTCAACAGCACCGTGGTGGGCCTGGCCGTGGTCTACGCCTGCTGCACCCTCCCCGAGAATGTCTGCAACATCGTGGTGGCCTACCTGTCCACCGAGCTCACCCGCCACACCCTGGACCTCCTGGGCCTCATCAACCAGTTCTCCGCCTTCTTCAAGGGCGCCGTCACGCCCGTGCTCCTCCTGTGCGTGTGCAAGCCGCTGGGCCAGGCCTTCCTGGACTGCTGCTGCTGCTGCTGCTGCGAGGACTGCGGCGGCGCGGCGGGCGCCCCGGCCACCGACGGCCCGGGCAGCAAGCTCAAGGCCGAGGTGTCCCCCTCCATCTACTTCCACAAGCCCAGGGAGTCGCCGCCGCTCCTGCCCCTGGGCACGCCTTGCTGAGGCCCGGGCCGCGGCGGGCGGGCTGCCCCCCAGCTGGCGTCTGCCTTTCCTCCCCGTAGGTCTCGCTTTGCTGCCCGTCTTGCTGTCCAGAGACAGGTTTGGTTCCTCTCGCTGCGGCGTGGGGGAGTCAACGCCCCGTCCCCAAGCAGGGCCCTGCCGGTCACTCGGGGGGCCTTGCAGGCCTGTCCTTTCCACCGGTGGGCAGTGATGCTTCTCCGTCCTTAGGGCTGCCGCCAGCGGGGAGCCAGAACTGTGCCTGCCACCTCCTGCTTCCAGCCCTGCGTCCCTCTCACCTAGGGCCCGGCTCCACTTCAGGGCCCCTCTGAGCGTCCTGACCCCACCCTCGGCCCTGGAGCCCCCTCCCGCCTGGGGGCTCCTCAACTTGGCTCAGCTCCCCTTTCTCTGGACGCGCCCTGTTACCGGTGACTTCTCTTCTTCTGGAGGACTTACTCCTCCCCCCTCGTTTTCAAGATGCCCCGGGTGGCCCTGTCCCAGCCCCCTAGTTAGGTGCTTTCCTATAGAAGGCCTGTCGTGACAAACAATAAACTAGGTAGCGATGCCCGTATGCCCGCCGCACGTTCTTGTGCCAGATGTTGGCAGAGCCCAGATGCACCTGGGCCTTCCCTGGGGGAATGCCTCCTGCCCACCCTGGCCCTGGCCTTGGCCTGTGCTGCCGTTCTGCACGGCCCTGCCCACGGAAGGGCGTGATGGCTTTTGAGGGGCAGAGAGGGCAGAGGGCTGGGAAGCCGGGGGCGGGGTGGGGGCGAGGGACCTAAGTCCTCATCCCGGCCTAAACGCAGCGGTCTCTGGGAAGTCAAAAGGCTGTGAACTCTTGTCCTCTGGAGCCCCCGTGTCGGTTGGACTCTCTCTCCACAAAGCCCCCACTCGAGGGAATCCAATGGCCTTCCCTCCTTGGGGCTGCCCAGCCTCTCGCTCTGAGAGCTGCTCTTGTTCCGTTTCTTGGAATGGCGTGTTTTGCCCGTGGACGGCCCAGCTGCCTGCCCCGGGCCTGCCCCCCCCCACACCCCCTTCCCGCCAGAGCTCCAGCAGACCCTGCAGCTCCTCCGGCCACCCCCGCCGAAGTCCCACTTCCCACAGCCCCCTTCTGGGGCCTTCCGAAGGGCACCCTGAGCCCTGTCGGTCCCGAGAAGCTGACGCATGAGCCGGAAGTGAGGCCTCGGCCTGGGCCACCGATCCTCCCTGCCCCAGAAGCCCGGCTGCCCCCAGAGCCACCCTCCCCGGTGCGAAGCTCAGCTCCAAGTCCCACCAGAGACTTCCGCCGCCAGGCCCCCCTAGAACCTGCACCTGGGCCTCAGGAAAGGCCCCAGGGCCCAGGGGTGCTGAGGGGCAGGGGGCTCCCAGTGCCCTGGACCCCATTCTCCTTTGTGCACCCACCCACCTACCCACGCCCCTTGGCCTCAGCCTGCCCCGTGCCCAGGCTTCCCTCCCCCTCTCCCGGGGATCTTAATGGCCTTGTTCTCTCTCCCTGGCACCCACCCCCAGGGCCGGGTGACGCCAAGGGAGCAGGAGGCCGTTGCTAGGTGATGCTGCTGCCATGCGCACACCCTTTGTGCCGGGGAATGACACCCACCCATTTCTCAGCAGACCTGTTGCCACGGTGACTGGAGCCCCCAGCTCCAGTCTGCAGAAACTTAACGTGGTGGGGGTGCGTGGAGGAGAGGGGCCAAAGGCGGGCGCGCTGTGGGTACGGGGCCCTGCCTCCGTGTTCCCCCAGCTCCTCCTCTGCCCCGTCTGGCCCCCCAGTCCCGGACGCACCAAGTGTCCTAAGGGACGCAGGCGGGGGCCGGGTGAACCGAGGTGAAGTCTGGCGGGAAGGGCAGGATGGAGGCTGTGGGCAGGGGAGGGGGCACCACAGCATCCTGTTTGGGGGCACCCTCGGCCTCCCCTCCCGATGCTTGGCCAGAGAGGGACGGGGGGAGGCGTGGACGCCAGGCCTGGCCACGTGAGCGGCCTGCGGAATCGGCCAGCAGCCGGCCTTGGGAGAGAGCCACCGTCCCTCCCTCCGGCCAGCTGGGGAACAATGTGGGGCTTGTTGCTCAGGGGTCCCGGGTTGGGGCGGGGGGAGGGCGGCACATGGCGGTGGTGGACGGGAGCCGGGGTGCTGAGGGGACGCAGGCGCGGCCCAGAGCAGACTTGGGGAGACCAGTGCTCAGACCCGAGTGCAGGTTGGCCGGGCGAGGGGCCTGGGGTCCACGGCGTCTCCCAACCCACTCGGGAAACCGCCCTCCCATCATTTATCCGAATGCATCGCTTGGCCTCGCAGTCTCGGCTTCCTCATCTGTGAAATGGGAACATCCCTCCCTCATGGACGACTGTGGTCGTTTAAGGAGACAAGGTGTATAAGGCACCTGGCGTGGCGCTTGCCACTCTTTCTTCCTTCCTTCCTCTTCTCTGGGAATTCGATTCTCCAGTGCTGCGGAGCAGGCCTGGCCAGGCCATCCCTAAACTCTTCCAGGTCTTGGCATCAAAGGGCCCCAAACGTGATGATTTACGTACACTCGCTGTCTGTCCCCCGGTCGACTTTAAAAAGTTCTTTTTTTTTTTTAAGAGTTGAGGTCTTGTTAAGCTGCCCAGGTTGGCTTTGAAGTTATGGGGGCTCAAGTGACCCGACCATCTCAGCCTCCTGAAATGGCTTAACAAGTTCTTTCAGTCACACGAGGCCCCTGCTGCACGCCGGCCAGCGGGGGGGGGGGGGGGGGGATGCTTACTGGTGGCCGTGCACTCCCGCTGGCCTCAAACCTCAGCCCGCACTGGAGGATGACAGGAGAGAACACGGCCCCAGATGAGCCACTGTTGTCCTCCCCTCCAGGGCCCCAAGCCAGGGGCAGACCCAGCCAGCTTTGCAGCCAGGAGAGGGCAGGGGACAGAGCCTGGGCCACCTGCAACCTCCTTGACCAGAGGAGCGCGTCTCCTGTTCCTTAGGTGCTGGAAGGCACCCTGGCATCACTGGGCTCTGGCTGCCGAATTCCGTCCCTGATCTTTCCTAAAACTCGGGCCACGGGGAGCTGCCTCTCCAGGCAGGGCGTTCCTCTCGCCCCACCGCTCCGATGACCAGAAAGTGCCTCCAGGGAGAAGCCCCCAGGCACCCACAAAGGGCAGGGGCGGGGGACCAGGACAGGGAGGCCCAGGGCTCTTCCCAGAACCGAGGGAAAATGCGGCTCCTCTCCCTGCAGTGGGAGGGCTGGCAGGGGACAAGGGACGGGCGCTCTGCAGGGGCCTGCTCCACTTTGCAGGGTGAAGGGGGGCCGAGACTCGGAGGCGGGGCTTGCAACCAAACTGGGTCAAGATGGCCTCGATGTGAGCCGGCGGCCTGGAGGCCCCGCGGCGGCAGCAGCCGTGGGCAGTACGGAGGGAGGCCTGGCTCGGATGGTGGGCAGGGGATGCCAGTGGCACTGCCACCAGCAGAGAGGCAGCTGGAGAGGAAGCCACCAGGACAATCCACAGGCCCCAGGGGAGGGGCCAGGGCGGGGGCAGAGGGCTGGTTCCGGCCCAGCCTGGCTGCTGGGAGGTCTTGGGCTGAGGACTGAAGTGGTTACGAGGAAAGGGACGCTCAGTCCCAGCTCAAACCGGCGTCCAGCCCCCGTCCTTCTGCCTCCACCACCCAAGCCCCTGCAGCGCCCCTGGCAGCTGCCCGCTGAAAGGCGGAACGGGGCGGGAGGAGGAGGCAGCGTGTGGGCCCAGACGCACACACGTGTGGGAGGCTGTTCCGTGCAGCGCCACTGCGTCCTGGGGTGGGCATGTGCCTCGCTCTGAGGGCATGGCCCTCTGGGGCTCTGTGTGTGCCCGGCGTGCGGGGTGTGCTGGTCCCTGTGGGCCCGCCGGCCGGTCACCCAGCCACTCCGCGCCATCTGCGGGGAAATAACCGGTTCCGTACACCCCCCCAACACAAAATTGGTCATTTATTTTTGTTTGTCGTTGTTATTAGGAGGCAAAAAAATGTACAGTTACAAGAATCATTTTCCAAACAGAGGTTAAATATGAGCTGAAAAGTGTAAAAAAAGGAAGAGGAACATCACTTTACAAATCATTAAATTAAACAAATAAACAAACAGAACCCAAAGAACCAACCCCCCAAGCTGAGTTCTCTCCTTGTGCAACTCTGCAAAATGAAAACAGAAAATGAGGAGGGCCACGGAGGTGGGGGGCCCCGGGGAGGGGCCGGAGCCGGGAGCCAGGAATGGGCGGAAGGGGGTGCGGGGGTGGCGTGGTCTCTGGCACCCGCTGATGCCCGGTGGCCCCGCCAAGGCTGGGAGCAGAGAAGAGGCACCTCCGGAGGCCCCTTCCAGCCTGTGGCGCTCGAGCACAGCAGGGACACGCCAGGCGGGGAGGTGGGGACACACGCAGGACAGGGGTGGCCACCAGTGCCCAGGCTGGTACCTGCCCCAGGTGCCAGCCTCCACCGTCCCTGGCCTGAACTCGCCCCACGCCGGCCGCCGGCGCCTCTTCCCGGCTCCCCCGGCCGCCCCTCCCAGATCCCGGATGGCCCCTGCAGCATCAATGGTTGATTTTAGTCTTTGCTTAAATTAAAAAATTAAAATATATATACATATATATACTGTACACACAGGACGATAACAGAGAGTGCTGAAAGGGGCGCACAGGAGCGGGAGGGCGGGGGCCGCGGGGCCGGGCGTGGGGAGGGACGGCGGGAGGGGGCAGGGTTGGGCGGAGGGACTTCGGCAGAGGGCAGAGTGAGAAGTTGGGGGGCCAGAATGGGGGGCAATTTATTTTACAATAAAAACAGGAGTTCAAACCTCAGCAGAACAGGACTCTGGGATCCCAGAGGGCCCCCCAGCACTGAGTGAGGGGGGTGGGCCTGGGGGGGGCGACGGGGGTGGGCGGGGAGCTTGGCTTCAGGTTTCGGTGACAACGTCGGGTCCCTGGTCGGAGGGAGGAGGGCCGTAGTCTCAGCTTCTCCGTGACTTTGAGTGCTGAATAAGCCACTGTAGGGTGATGTCTGAGGGGCAAGCGAGTGGGTTACGAGGCCGCCTTGGGCCGGGCGCGCAGGGGCGGCAGAGACGCAGCGGGGCAGGGACCCAGGGCCTCCCACGCTGCCGCCAGACCGGGAAAACAGGGGCCTGAGAATCTCCAGGTCCAGCTGTGGGCTCGCAGAGGCGGGAAGCGAGGCCCGGGATGTGCCCAAGGTCACCCAGCCGTCTGCGGCAGAGCTGGGAGGGTGCTCGGAATCTGGGCCTCCCGGCCGCCTGCTCTACCCGAGAACCAGGGAGCTTTGGGCTTAAAGGACAGTGTGCAACGGGAGCCTTCCAGAGCCACGGACACACCCAGAGGTGTCTGTCCCCTCCCCGCCCTGCCCCAAACCCACGCACCGATGTTGTCCTTCTCCTTGCAGGAGATGGAGTAGCAGCAGATCTCTCGGTCCTGGATGGCAGACAGATTCCTGGGGGGGGCCAGAGTAGACTCTGCTGAGGCTAGACTGCGGGGGGCCTGGGGTGTCTTTCTCACCCAAGGGGGACAGAGGGGAGGGGAGGGGGAGGCTGCCGGAAAGGTGGGTTCTGCTGCCACCGTGTGGCAAACGCTGGGAAC